TTTAGGTGGGTTTTGCGTCAATTCATAAATATTGTCATCTGGTATAGAGCAACGACGTGTTTTTATAAATTCTAAAAGGTCTTTCGTTATTTCACCACTTATGTTTAAATTATATCTCTCCTGAAATAATATTAAAGCTTCTTCATAACTAGTCAACGAAAACTCTGAACTATTAAGGTAGCCAAATGTTTCGAGATGTTTTATTACAACATCTTTATCAGTTAAATTATTTGATTTTACCAAAATTATACTTGGTAGAAATATTAATAACAATTTAAAGCCCATTATTAACATAATCAACATAAAGCAATATTAAGACTGATCACCGAAAAAGATTTCTGGACAATAAATAGACTTGTCGGGACAAGTTGGGGTGACGTCAGCCGAAATGGTACCAAAAATAAAAATTTACAACAAAATAATAAATCCTTATCTCCAAATAACTGATTACCGCATTAAAACCCCCGAAACACAAGTCGGGACAAGTCGGATGACGTCAGCAATTCAAAATGGCGTCAAAAATGAAATTTACAACAAAATAATAATAAATCCTTATCTCCCCCGGATATCAAACCACTGCAGCAAATGCATATCGCTTATCTTTTACATCTCCAGTAATACCAAACTAATACGCTAACCACAAACAACCAATATGCATATCGCTTATCTTTTGCATCTCCAGTAATGCCAACTAAACACCTAAGCCCCGCCCACTTTAAACCACAACACCAATAGCTAATATCTATCAAACATGGCCGCCATCCGCCAGCCGCCATCCGCCAACAACCCACCAATAGGCTCACTTACGCTTATCAGTTGAGGGCGTTGCCCAAATGCCTGCCCACCAATAGCTAATATGATCACCCCCCACCACCCACCAGGGGGGGCGCCCCCTTTAGGAACGCCCATCCACCTGTCTGGCTCACTTCCGTTCCCGTATTGGTATAGTATATCTACTATGGAAAAATTCTCATTTGACGAACACTTCCGGAAACTTTCAATCGAAAATTCCCGAAAAAAAATATTGAGGAAATAAGTTTTTTGTTCCAGGATTGCCAAAATAAATAATATTGGCTACTCATATACGAAAATAGTATTGCAGTTCTGACCAATAAAATTAAAAAAAAAACTACAGGCGAAATAAAATCAACATTTTTGAGGAAGCTTGAGTCTACGTTTTAAAAAATACATGCTCTGGAGTTGCTACAATTATATTTATTAGTGCCAACCCATTAGTGTCTGTCCAACCATTTGAAAGAAATGTCAGCCTCTTGTACTTTACCTTCAACTACTTTTTGGATTCCAGCATATTCAGAGTTAAGCAATGTTGTACTTAATTTATTTCTTTCAGGTAGCTGGAAACTTGAACATAGTTGCTTAAAAAATATTAAAACATCAGGTATTTTGACTTAACCAAAAGGGCAAGAACTAGAGTAAATTGCTCGAGCAAATAAACTGCTCCAACCACTCAATGTGTCGCGACCAAAAAGTTCGTTCTTTTTCAAAACGACATAACTTTTTTGTTTCTTGAAAGATTTTATTTTGGTTTGTGATGTCTACTAGCCTCATCCTCTGGCAATTTATGCTATAGATATGAATCTCACGGTTGGTCAAGTAAATTTCCTACAGGGTGATATGTTAAACAGTGAAAATTTTCAATAACTTTATCCAAGCCCCGTTTGTATTAAAATATTTTTTTTTCGTTTTTACTTTAAAATAATGAAGTATTATGTGTTGCCTTGAAACCTTTTTCAAATTTTTCGAATTGGAATCTTAGCAACGAAAATATGATTTTTTTTTTCAAAAGAGTACATTTAAGGCTTTTTTTAGGCAATACACTCAGTCTTTTTAGGAACAAGAAGATAAGATGGTAAAAGATTGTTCCTTAAATAATTCTGAAAAAGCGACAAGCAACAAATTTCTATTATTTTTAGAGGGCCTCAGCTAAGACCACTTTTTGAAAATGACATTTTTGTGAAAGTTTGCAAAAACTAAACCTAAACCGATATTTACTTTCGTAATATGTTTTCTTCATAATTTTGACCTCCTGATTGTGATTCAGTTGTCAAATTTAAGTCTCAGATAAAACCAAAATCACTAAGAATCTTGATTCCAAAACAATTCCTGGCGGTTAAATGTGTCAATAAAATCCGATTGCTGGTTTTTACTGTTTTTTTTACATATCGTAAATGAGTATTTAAGGGACCACCATATTGAGAAAATGAATTGGCCACCTTTGTCTCCGGATATGAATCCCATTGAGCATGTGTCGAGCATGCAGGGTAAAATTGAAGATGAAAGAGAGGGAAGGAGGCATAAAAAATTTGTATGAATTGGTAAATGCTATTCAGGAAGAATGGGGTACCCCAAAAATTTCTAAGGAACTTGGTCGAGGGAATGCCCAGGAGGGTTAACGAATTATTACGGCTTAGGGGAGGGCCAACGAAATATTAAAAGGTATTATTGTTATTGTTTGTTACATTTTTCTGTTGAATGTTGAAGTTTTGATTATGATTATATCTACGCATACAATTTTCAAAAATGAACAAAAATATTTGTATTTAACTTTATTACCAATTAGGTACTTATCAATGATGTTATCACTACTGCGCAATGTAAATGTATGTTATGTAACATTATCCTAACCACTCAAACAAATTGCAGTAATTTCTCCCAAAAAATGAATCCCCAAATGGCATTTTCATCATAAATATGCAAGAAAAACGACAGCAATCGGATTTTATTAAGACATTTAACAACAGGGAATTGTTTTCGAATTTTGATTTTTGATGATTTTGGTTTTATCTGAAACTTAAATTTGAGAACTGAATCACAATCAGGAGGTCAAAATTATAAAGAAAACATGTCTCGAACGTAAATATCGGATCAGGTTTAGTTTTCGCAAATTTTCACCAAAATGTCATTTTGAAAAAGTGGTCTTTGCTTAGGCCCCTCTGAAAATAATGGAAGTTTGTTGCTTGTCGCTTGTTCAGAATTATTCAAGGAACAATCTTTTACCATCTTATTTTCTTGTTCTTAAAAAGACTGAGTATATTCCCTACCAAAAAGTCTTAAATGTACTCTTTTGGAAAAAAAATCATATTTTCGTTGCTAAGATACCAATTCGAAAAATTTGAAAAACGTTTCAAGGTAACACATAATACTTCATTATTTCAAAGTAAAAACGAAAAAAAAATTATTGTTTTACAAACGGGGCTTGGATGAAGTTATTGAAATTTTTCACCGTTTTACATATCACCCTGTAGAAAATTTACTTGAAGAACCGTGTGTTTAATATCTATAGAATGAATTGCCAGAGGATGGGGTTAGCAGACATCAAAGACCAAAATAAAATCGTTCAAGAAACAAAAAAGTTATGTCGTTTTAAAAAAGGACGAACTTTTTGGTCGCGACACATTGAGTGGTGCGCAGTTTAGTTCTTCCAATTTATTCTGTTTGATAAGAGACATGTTACCAACAAATTCTTTTATGTTTTCAGTAATTGCATTGCTATCTGGTGGACTCTCTTCTTGACTTTCAGTAGACTTAAAATTTTGCATGGAAAATCTTATAATATAAGATATTATCTTGTGGGGCACACTTTTTTATATGTTTGACAATTTTGGTTGCATGAATAAATATATTTTTTACAGAACTTGCAGTGAGCCTGGTCTTTTTTGCACTATTTTGTAATAATTGCTGTACCTATAAATAAGCAACAAAAACGTGATTTTACCTTTGTTTCTTGTTTTTATTTTGTTTACCTTTTAAAAGGAGTTCATCTAATTTGCGTTCACAAAGACTTCATTGTAACACGGTGCTGTAATGAGATACTTTACCCCACCCAAAATTTTGATTTTATAGGTTGGCTACTTTAAACAGCATACTGGTAAAATAATATTTTGCATTTTGGATATAATATTTTTATGATTTTTCTAGTACTTACTATACTTTTCTTGCAATAAATTTTGTTTAACACCAAAGAAAATCCTTTTTTTATTCTTTAACATTAACAGCCGCTTATTGTAAATAAGTAAATTAAGGACAGCATGGCGAATCGATTTTGACATTAACTGTCAAACTGTGATACCAACTATCTAAAGTAAAATTCGACCAAATTAAATTTAAATTGTTGCAAAATAGATAATATAGGTAGCATAAAGAACTCATTTCATAAGACCTTTTGTCGCACTCGTCCATTACAAAACTCGCTCCTTCGTCGCTCGTGCGACAAAATGACGTCTTATGACATTAGTTCTTTAATATACTATTATGCAACGTGTTTTTTGCAAACGATTTATAAATTGTAATGATGAGATCCTCAAGAAACTTCTTCTTTAAATTAACACAAATTAACTTCTTCTTATTTAGTTTCTTGGCCGTAACTTTGCAAATCAGCTATAAAACAATTGACATTTACATAAAAAACAAGGACAAGTTTCCGGGAATGTTTCCGGTAACTTTAAAAGAAACTTTCAAAATGAAAAAAAAATCCGACTGGAAACTTTCCAAAATGAAAACTTTCCTTAAAATGGAAAATTTCCGATTAGTTGTATCTATCATAACATGTTACATTTAAAATAAGAAAGTATTGAAATTTTCAAGTTTGCCTAATTTGCCCTGGTTTTTTCCAGGTAATTTGTTGAAAAATGTTAAAGAATTGACAAGAAAGAACAATGTTTTAAGATTCCAAACAATGTTTTAATATTTGCAAATAACAAAAAAGTTATAGGCTATTTTTGATTGAAGCGCATTTATCAAATTTTAACGAAGAAACTCAAAAAATATTCACTTTAAGTATACGACCTGGTATAATAATTTAACTCAGAATTTTATGTAGAATTTAAGAATGTAAAAATATATAGGGTGTTTTTTAAAAAATATTTTAGAAAAATAGACTAATGGATTTAAATCGATATCTCTTTCTGTTCCTCAGAATGGACCACGAATGTGAAACACTCTGTATATTACATTAAAATTCATAAACATTTAGGTCTTACCTGTGCACAAGTATTATTACTGAAACCGTTGCACATCCTCGCAATTTCCTGGAATTTAGGCATAATGCAATACTCATAGTGACTTTTTGTGTTGTTGGTAATAATGTTCCACTCCCATGTACCATTTTCGTGGCAAATTTTTATGGCTTTGGCTGTGTGAAAAATAATCATTATTAAAATATAGAGAAATCCTTATTTTTTTTTAAATACTATGGGAGTTAAATCCCACCTTTTTGGCATGGTCTGAAAAAATTCTGTACTAGTTCAGAGTAAGTAAATATTTTATGGCGTTGTGCACCTTTAGGAAAAGGGTGTAAACTTGTAACTAAGTTCGTGCGAACGCCTAACTTAACTCTTAACCGTATGTTTGACTTAAAGTTACTAAATAAGTAATTAATTTCAGGGAAAATTTATATTAAATTCATTATTAAAATTATCAATGAGGATTTAAAAGTTTTAATTACATTACAAGATGCTCTAAGCTTATTAATTATTACTTTGGGGTGTTTAAATGCAACACCATTTAATAAAAGTTTAAGATTTATTTCTCCTTTTGTATAATGTTTATTAATAAATATATAAAACTTTTTAAACGATTTTATTTACTACGGAACAAACGAATTTGTTGGAGTGTATTCACCAATTTGTAAGAACAGTTTTGGTCCTCATTAGTGTCGGGTAGACATGTACACTTCAACAAAATGCCCTCGCCGTTACTATAGTAGAAAGCAACATAGTTGGAATATTTGCGACTCCAATACTATAAGAACGAGTGTGTTTAACGCTACAGGGCTACCCGGCACTAATAAGGACCTCCTCTACAAGAAAACAATTTTGGTAAAGCAAGATAGTTAGAAAGTCATTTTATACCATTTAGTGCCAAACCTAATATTTTTTTTTATTTAGTATTACAAAAAGAACGTATTATTGGATATATAAGTTATTACCACCCAATAAAGTTTCTGGTCTTTTGGGACATTCCATTGTAGCATTTTCTCCGGGACATGTTTCTGGCCATTTTATCCATTCGTCCCACTCGGCAGGACATGCTGAAAAACAACAAAATAATAATTTTGTTTATAAAATGTGACTGAACCCTTTTGTTAAAATGAAGGTCTAAAATTAAGTTTTAAGGCTTAAAAAGATTTTAAAACCTAAATTTATACTTTATTATTGCTATTTGTACAGCTAGAGCTACTGTTTTTTTAATAAAAAAATTATAAATTTTTTTTGAATAAACCAGGGAGCCACTGGATGTCACTGACCTATCTTATATATCATCATTCTTTTGACCTCAAAAAAGAAATAGTTATGCGCATAGTGTAACTCCGAGAACTTGTCACTGCAGCGGCAGATGAAATCCGAAATCATCCGGATATGATAGCAAGAGCGACACATCCTAATTTTCTACGCCGCTGTAAACTTTGTGTGGATAATAACGGCGGGATAGTTAAAGATTTATTATGACTTTGTGGAACACTTAAAAAATAGCTACATGAGCGTAAAAAGTGAAAGGTGAAATCGACGAAAAAACCACAGAAACCTCGAGATAACTAACAATAAAAGGTAAGTATTGCTTTATTTAAAGTACCTAAAAATAGCTGAGTATGCAAAACAACAAAAACTACCAACAAAGTAATTAATAATAACACAAATGTAAATTTTTAATACGTTCAGAGTAAAACCGAATATAGGGAAACGTATCGGGCGTGGCCTTGCTTCCCTCCAATGCGCGACACAGTAGCTAAGCAAATAGCCTGCATCGCTAATGAGATTTTTTGCATTATTATCATTTAATTTTTAAGGTCGTCTTACCTGCTCGACCTTTCGTCATGTCGTTTATCACACAAGCCCGATACGTTTCCATATATTCGGTTTTACTCTGAACGGGCTGTATATAATTTTTAATTAATATTTTGCGTCAGTTGTCATAGGTCAGGAACAACCAGTGGCGGCCCAGAATTTCTACTTTACTTATAAAAATTTTAAATTATTTTTGTATTAAAAGAAAATGGCACTAATGCAAAAGTAATTGAGGAAAAACTATCTTATTTTGGCGTCTATTATAATAATTATTATTCCCTCAAAAAATGACAACTTATTTGTTGACACCCTGTATAGTATTTTTTTAAAAATTGAGAAAGCAATGCTAAACCCGTGAGGTTTTATTAAAAATTTTAGTATTTTAAATACATTATTGACGTTGGTATTGTATATTAACTTGATTAGCGTTGCTCATCAATAGTTACTATTTTCTTTTTTCAGTGTAAGAAACATAATATGTCAATATATCAACAATATATTATATTGTTTCTGGGGATGCCAAATAAAGAATATGATTTCATCTCAAAAACGCAGAAAATCGTGTTTTTGTAAATATGTAAATAATTTACTGCTTTTCAGGAAAATATATAAATAAAATTGATTTTGAAAAATTTCATCAAAATACTGTGTTTTTTTTTAAATTTTAAATTCAAGTTCTTGCTATGACCTAATATGTTAAATTTAATATATAGTTTGAATAACATTGTCATTTACACGTGTTAAATTGTTGTCAAAGTAAATCGAACAGGGAGTAGCTTATTTGCAAATAAGCATTGTCTCTGAATACATTATTAAATTCATTTCCAGATATGTGCACATTATTAATATCGTTTATACAAATGTATTATAATTTGCGTGGAGTTATACATAATCAAATGAACAAATTTTCAACGACATTTACATTTTAAGCGGCGTATATAGGAATGACATGTTGATACTCACTGTTATTTGTGATTTTGCCGGAACAGTTCATCCTAAAACAAATTTTATTTTAATTAGTTTTTAAAATAAATTTTTGTTACTTTTATTTTTTTATTTAATCATAAAATGTATAGATTTTATGATTAATAAAAAATATGCTTTTATTTATTAAATTACACATGTTTTTCAATTAATTTTTTTTTAAATATAAATAGTTATAAACGAATTAAACATTGTTTACATGAAAAAACAATTTTGTAATTTAATAAATAAAAGCCAAAAAATAATATAGAAATATTAAAAATATATATAAAAAAGTTAAAAAACATAAAAACCAAATATTTTAACACTTTCAATGTTTTAAACAGATATGTATGTTATAACTATTAACGTACATTACATTATTAAATGCAATAATTACTATTACAGTTGTTTATACATTTTTAAGAATAATAGTAATAGTAATAGTAGTACAAAAACCATAAAAAACAAAATTTTATTCTAATGTAATAGTATATTAGGTATCAAGTTTAATAAACGGCATTTTAGTCACGAATTTAATTTAGTCACCAGCGAGCTTGCTAGCGAGTGTTTAATTAAATATATATTAAATATGTATACTTTTTTTAGGACAAATACTTATTATTATCTCTAATGATTTAAATTAAATATTTGTATAAGCGACATCTACCTGTAAAACAATAAAACTTGTGAATCTGAAAATTTTAAATTTTTATGTAAATCTTTTATAATTTGTGATGTAAATCGAAATGAATCCCTTGAAAATGGACCGTTTAATCCGATAAAGAAGCAGTTTTTCACAGTGAAAGTAAAGAAAATGTTTTATTGGCAAGTTAAATCTAGTTTACTACTGGCGTAATTAAAATGTTTATATAAACTTTTCAAATATTGGCGTTAAAAAACTATTTAATACTTTCGTATTTTTTTATTGAGATAATAAAATATATTTTACATTTAGTATTATTTTACAAGGTCACTTTATTTTAATGATTATATTACATCGACAACTGTCAAGAAACTTAAAACTAACTTCAGCCCGTGACTAAAAGGTCGTAAAGCCACAACTTGTCAATGTGTATTAAAAAGGTCACTTAGTGTTATGAAAACATGTACGATAATGGGCGTTTTAAACGTGAGAGTTAAAAAAGATAACACCGCCCAACAGCATGTCTGTTGCATGGAATATTTTAAATGATTCTGTGCAAATTTTTGACGCTGATTTTAAATATGTTATTAGTTTTTCTGTATCAGCTCTAGTTTTTAAATTATAAGGAGGGGTGTTTTTTGAGAAAAAGATGCATTTACCGTACAAAAATATTTAATTATAAAAAAAACTATACACTCTGGAATTTTCTTTTATATAATTTTCTACTGTTTATGAATTATGAAGTGGTACTCTGAATACTCCAGCAAAAATCGGCCATCATATGTGCATTCCAGCGACCCTGGAATCGTTCACCTTGTTCTTCACTCATATCACCGAGATTTTCAGGAAAGTGATCTAAATGGCTATGAAGAAAGTTTACTTTGATGCTCATGTTGCATCCAAGTCGCTGGAAAAAAAAATTTTAATAACCCAAACAAAGGAATCCCATGCATTTTTCTCAATCCCTGACATTGAACTGCTGGAATTAGAATCGTTCACTAGTTTACGAATTTGTGGGCTGTTGCCTGCCTTGAGCTTTTCTAAACTCAGATTTAGAAACTTCCTTGGAATATACTTGAAACATTCACCGTCTTTGTTTAGTGCTTTAACATATTGTTTCATTAGTCCAAGTTTAATATGTAGAGGTGGCAATATAATACGATCTCGTAACACAAGAGGTACATTGACACACTCAAACGAAATTTTTTAAAAACATATTCACCACAAATGTTAATGTTAATGCATGTTAATGCAGAGCCTTCTTGATAAAGACATGATGGAAATTACAAATATTTATGTAAAATTCGTATCTAATAGATAGTTTATATAAACAGACCTAATATAAAGGCAGTAGTAGTGTATCTGAAAAACTCGAGCTGCTACAAAAAAACTGACGGCCGATTTGAAATCAGTGACCTTGAATTAGTAAACAACCGCTTAAATACTTCATGCAACAGGAAAAAACTTTGATTTTGTTGTGTTGTGTAATAGTGGCAATATTTTTAAAGAACAATTGTGTTATGTTTTAAATACAACCAGTTGCATTTGAAATTGTTTATATTTACTGTTATTATTTTTATAGAAATAACACAGGTCTATACATTTTTAATAATAATAATAATAATGATAATTATTTACTGGTGATAAAAATAACGTTTTATAAACAACTAAGAAGCCAGACCAACTCTAATTGGCCCAAGATTAATTTTAAAATTTATTTATAAGTATATATAAGGCTGGTTCTAATTTGCCACACCCTCATTTGTTTTTAAAAAATATAAAAAAAATTTATTCCAAATTTGAATGTCCTAACTGCAGATAGAGGATTTTTGCCTTAAAGGTATTAATTTTTTAAAATTACTAATAATAATCTATGAAAAAGTACCTATAATTTTTTGTAGAGGACATGTTACTTTTAAACAAAAAAAAAAGAAATCATGTATTTTCATCCTAAGGTTTTTTTACTTTGCTTATTAATTACAGTTTTTCTTAAAGGGGATTTTTGCTTTGAAAAAAAAAAGATTTCAAATAATTTAAGATTATAAGATATTTAGAAATTAATGGGCCGCTTCTAATAAAAATGTATGAAATTGAAAGTAAATAATGGCAATATTTATTTTTGAAAATCGATCAAACTATTTGGCCGAAAGAACTGTGCATTTATTTGACGAGTAGGTATAACTCCATCATAACACACAAATAAGACCAGAAACAATTTGTTGTGCAAGTTGTGTCAGAGTTTCGAAAAGCATTTTCCGACGCAAAACATGTAAACACTTGTAAACAATTTTTAAAATGCCGAAAACCTAATCATCTAGGTTTTATTTGGTTGTTTTTTTGCCATTATACGATGTTACTTTCTTAAAATATAAATTGCTTGAATATAATCTAAAAATCAATTTCATTATTTACATAATTGTAATTTTGTACCTACTTTTATAGATGTTGGTGCTACCTAAATATTTTTTAGGCAATCTAAAGTTATTTGTTTTACGTTTCAAGACAATATAGAATTATAATTGTGCAATACATGCAAATAATCACTGATATGATTTTTTAATACCATTTTCAATGAAATAACAATAAGAGTAATAATTTAGCTAAGTTAAAAATACCTTAGAATGGACAATGTCCATTGGACATTCATACATTTTTGTTTTTGTCTTTATTTCCTTTATTTCTTTTATTTTGCATTAATTATTAATAATTTTCAAAAATAATAAAGTATCCCCTATAAAAAAAACTAAGTAACAATCAAGCGAATTATATAATAATATAAAAAAATATATGTTTTCTTGTTTAAAAGCAAATTATGTCCTATATTTTTTTTTAAATTATAATTTTTCATAGATTATTAGTAATTTTAAAACATTAAAATGGTGTTAATCTAGGAGCCACTTGTGTTTAATAGACACAATTGTTTAGTATTTACTGCAATTTCCAATAGACATTGTCTACACCTATGTCTACATACAATAAATCGCAATTAAATCTTATAATGTTGGACCAATGAAAGTCTAATATAAAGTTATAATGTTATTTATTAGATTTAATTCAAATAGATTGTCTTTACTTTTTACTAATAAATCCTTAAAATGCCCATTATAGTACATGTTTTTAAGACAGTGATCTTTTAAATACCATTGATAAACTATGGCATTTTAGTCACGGGCCAGTGGTTACTGTTTTTTTGTCTAAGTAAACTTCAAGTGATGTCAAAAATCGTACTTCGTGTGAAATAAAATTAAAGGTGGACATTATTCTCAATGAAAAATATTAAATTATTAAAGAGTTTCTTGACGCCAATCTTTGTACTGACATTCTGATTTCGCCAGCAGAAAACTAGTATTGGCCTATAAAGGCCAATTTCAAGTGGAGTAGCAATAAAACATATTCTTTACTTGCACTGAGAAAAACTGCTTCTAAATCGGATTTTTACAGACAAATTTGACAAACTAACACTGCCATTTTTAAAGCCAGTAAAAGAGATTTTTAACATCAATTTGGTTACTCTAATTTTGTATAGATGTCGCGGTGATAAACTTCTTCCATATACTTACCACAGTAAGTATATGACTTCTTCTTCTTTAATCAATGCTATTAGCATATTCTGTATACCTAATATTATTTGTCGGAGAAAAAGTATGCAACTCGTTTATACTTTTCTAGACACTAATTTTATTGAACATTGGCTAGCAAGCTTCGCTCGTGCCTAATTAAAATTCGTGACTATCGTGTTTATAAAACTTGATACATAATATACTGATAAATTAGTTTGGCATTCCCTGCATTCATTTATTAAACTCTTTGTGAAATGCAATTGAAAAAATTACTAAAAACTAAGCCAATTAACATTTATGTTTGCCCAATTTATTTATTTAAAAATTTTATATTTACCTACTTCAATATAAATTTAAACTGTAAACATTTCAATGCGATTCGGCTAAATACACACATAAAATTGTTAAATATTTAATAAGTTTAAGTTTGATTAATTTTGTGCGTTGTCCAGCTTTAATTACAATTGTTTATATCCAAAATCTATATTCGAAGTCAATATTTTTTATTTTGACCTGCTAAACTTTTGGATCACAATAATTTTTTTAAGCGTATAACAATTTTTATTTTATAACACTCATAAGCTTATATAGAAAGACTACATTTTTGTACGCAGTCAAATTATTATACACCGCCGTACGGTAATAAAAATACATTGAAATTACATAGGAAGAGTTTAGCATGAAATCAGCAAAGAAAATGTTAAACCAAAGGGAATAAATTATTGTGCATAACTTATAATATAACATAGGTCAAACGTCAAACCTGATAATATAAGTACAGAATTATTAAACGCTTAAAAAAGTATATAAAACACGGCGGAGAAAG